TTCGACGTTTGAATCGGTGTCGCATTTCTGTCGGATAATGCGACAAGACCAGTCGAACGTGCGGCAGAAATGCGGCAGCCGATTCAGACGTCGAATTTCAGACGTTGAATTCGACACGGCAGAAATGCGACGTATGAACCGGGCCTAAGTGAAATTTCGTCAGATTCGTCACTTTCGCCAAATTGGTCAACTTTCTGGGGCACTACCAGTCAAGTGATCTCTATTCTCAACAGGTTTGGCGAAATTTCGTCGGATTTGTCACTTTTGACAAAATTTCACAGATTGACAAATTTCGTCAAATCCGTCGACATCGTCAACAAAATTTTGTCAAATCTGCTGTATTCGTTACTGCATGCATTTTTGGGCATATCTCCTAAGAATTGTCGAGACAATTGCTATGTTTCTTGTTTCAAAATTCTTGAATATGCTAAGAGTTATTCTAAACTCAAAGTAAAGGAGAGTTTTATCATTGAACGTTTGAAACGAGAATTAAACAAACAAGTCGAGCATGTGAGTTTACTGTTAACACTTCTAAATTAGTGTATCTTTCTGTTATTGGCTAGTTTAAGTAAGTTTAGATTTGTTGCCACGCTTGGAGTATGCACAAAATGTAGAAATAACCGGTTGTCAGTATTTTCACAGAATATCATACGACTATGGCTAGTAATTTTACTGAATATTATACCAACACAACAGTACAATCACCAATCAGTACTTTTACTGGCTAAAAATATCCATAGTACAATTACCGACTGCCTGTACGTTTACTTAGCATATTTAGTAGAAAGAAGTTCCACTGAGACGACAGCAGTATAATTTTTCCCGAGCAAAATTAATTTTTTAATTACATCCGCAACATTTGATAGTCTGACATTGTTACATGTATATCCATTTAAACCAATTCTTTATTTTCTCTTTTAGGAGTGGGCGTTTCTATGGACTTCTGTGGTTTTTGTATACCATTCGTTCCTTTGAATTAACCGATTTATTTATTTCGATTTATTTTTGTTTGGCCATCTGCGTTTCTTTTTCTTTCTTTTCTATTTTTTGTACATGTTTTCAAGTCAACCATGTTGTCAAGCCTATTCCTCTGGACGATCATCATTTAACAGCGTCAGCCAACTCTCCTCCTGATGTGACTTTGGCGAGAATAGCCACAAGCACTACAACCAAGTGCTCTGCAACACGCGCCAGATGGAAACTTTGAGCCCGTGATCATGACCTGCCAGTTGTTCCTGCGTCTCCTTACCACCTCGCTCTCTATTTGCGTCATTTGATGTCGGATGACAAGACGGCTTCTCCGATAGAGTGCGCTGTACATATAGCATTGCTTGGATTCACCATTTGGCTGGGAAGCCTTCTCCGTTAGAGTACCCGTTGGTGAAGGATGTCCACGCTGGTGCACAGCGTCTTTTGGCCCACCTTACTTCCAAGAAAGAGCCTGTGACCGTTTCTCAATTGGAACAATTAGTTAATTCTCAAGTCCTGTCTATGGCTTCTTTATATAATATTCGTTCTGTTGTAATATGCCTGCTGGCCTTCGCAGCTTATCTTAGATTTGATGAACTCGCGAAACTAGTTCGCTCAAATGTTGAGCTCGATAGTGAAAAGTTACAGTTGATTATCGAATCCAGCAAAACCGATAAATACAGGGACGGTGCATGTATGGGTTATTGTAGCTGTTTCAGGGAAAGCTTCCTGTTCTGTTAACATGTTGTATCGGTAATTTGCTCGAAGTTTTACGTCCAGTGCTTTCAGCGCACTGCTTTACATTTGATGACTTCAAATCGACAAAACCAATTTTAGCTGGTTATTTAAGCAATAGACCACAAGTTTTTATGGTTTGTAGGATGATAAACCACGCAGGATGTTGGAAGAACACGACAAGAATTCGTAAATCACGAACCGCAGGCGAGTGATTTACGAATTCTTCGATATATAATAATTCAGAAGGCACGCGAAATTTCCATGAGTTTACTGGCACAATAAACCATAGCTGATTGACCAATCAGAGTGCGCGCGTTCATTTAATTATTGTATAAATGTAAATAGTCTTAACCAAATTTTTGTACCATTGCTAATGAATTTTGTATTTATTTTAAATTTGAGTTTTTTAATAGCTAGTGATGATGCTTAGCACCTTCCGTTTCTTAGTTTAATATTTATTTTTACACGGAAATAAAGCTGTTCTTTTAAACGATCATTATTTTAATGTATATTTGTGGTATTTCATCCCCAATTAGGTTCCTGAGCTAAAGTTGTAAGACACCTTTTAAAATACAGTTTATTATTGTTATTACGATAGAACAGTAAAAAGTCCATATTTCCATGGCTAAATAAAGTGAGCAGCCTTTACAGACGCGCGTTCTATCGTCTTCCAATGGAAATCGTATTGTTGGAGTATTCCCCTGGAGTATTGTGTTTAAAGAGAGAGGGCGTAACTATAGACAATGCTTTGACGAAGGTCTGTACTGTTCTTTTGTCAGTGCTTTTGGCGAGAAATTTGTATTCACGCCCTTCAGAGTAGCTGGGAGAGCCCACCAGCGTTGTACAAACACTCCTAACCCTTGCGTACGGCTGGTGCGCTTGAAAATTGAATTGACCAATCGGGATTCGGCAGGGACGGGGGGTGGGAGGTAGCCTGCAGAACAGGCGGATTAGCGGGCTCTAGCGCGATACACGAACGGGCGCGTGAAGCGAAATCTTGGCAGGATATCTTGGGAGTCAAAGTCGCCTTCAAGCCATTGCGAACTATGAACAGTTTGTTCCCGCCATCGAAAGCCCAGGAAAAGGTTGACCGGCCACAATCTGACACAGTGTACAAAATCAGTTGCACCGACTGCAGTTTTGTATACTACGGTCAAACTGAACGATCACTGAAAACTCGGATTACAGAACACAAAAGGGCTGTTTCTATGTTCGATCATGACTCCAAGATCTCCTGCCATGTCCACGAAAACAACCACAAAATAGATTTTGGAAATGTCGTAGTTGTTGGACACGAGGCTTACTTTCATGAGCGACTCTTCTTGGAAGCTTGGATGTCAATAAAGGATGCGCAATCTGGAAATGACCACATCGCCATCCCAGAAGTGTACAAGTCTTTGGCACGCGCATAAGTCTCGCGCTACGTTTTCTTGAAACTTCACGCGGAATTTTCATCAGCGCGCTTTCGACGTGCTGTTTTTTTTTAACCAAGCGTACTGACGTCAGTTTTTCAACTGATGAAGGCTCAAGCACCAACCGAAACGTCTTGAACAAAACATCAAAAAATAGTCAATGTCAAACCACTATCTTACAATGTTAGCTCCTGACTACCACTACTCTGTTTTTAAACGGACTGTGCAATAATTACCTGGAGGGGG